AATCAGCAAATTCACGAGTGGCCAAGTTTCCGTGCCGGTGAGTGTACTAGAAATAAATGAGGATAGAATGAACGTAATTTTATTCACTACCCGATTATCATCCCGTGGGTATCGTAAAAGGCGACGTAAGGAAATAAATCAGGAGATGGGCAGCAATTTTTTTTAGGTTTATACCATCTAGCATCTATCCTACATACCACCTGAGAGTCAATCAATGTTTGTTCGATAAAATATCTTTACCTATACAACATAGTAGATGGCGCTATTACTAAAGTGCGCTCAGCTCAATCTTACTGAAATAAATACGTGTACCTTGGTAACTGTCTTAAATAAAATTAATATAAGATTAGTATTTGAACAAAAGACCGTTGTAATCTTGTAATTGTAGTACTATATACTTTATGGTATGTAATGCCCTGCGTTTGCGACTTGAATGTTCGACCGAATACCCGGTACGTACGTACTCGTAGTGTTAACACCCACCACTTTTCGTCATACAAAAAGGTTGCGGATCAGCATTTCAATCAAAGCCCTCCCGTAAAAAGTTTCACTTCAAAAACTGCGGTTGCCAACCCGCTTGCCAAGCGTGGCAAATATTCCAGCTATGATACAATCTACGAGCAGGCCTATGTGTTCAGCAGTGTACTTTAATAAGCTGTAACAGTGACGGTATAATTTATTACTGCATAACATTGAATATACAAAAATTATATATTAACATACATGTTTAAATATTACATCTAAGATAACAATAACATTAGAACCTCTGACTTCTAATCTAGAATAATCTATGTAATTCATTTTTTTTTTAATCTTTATTTTCAAAAAAAGGGGTTTTGTCACACAGTGACTATGTCACCCCCGTGATATACACACAAAAATAATAACAGAAAATAAAGTAATGAACACATAATAACATAGAAAGTAACAGAGCTACTATAAAATAAAAATAAATTTAGCAACAAAAATAGATATTATGCAAAATCCTGTGGTTATGTTTAACCTTATGAGTAAGAAAATATTACATCTCGCTAAACTCACATTACATGTAAATAAAGTTTGATTAGCATTTTGGCCTCATGACAAAGTGGAGATGATAGGATAGCATTACATATGCCTACATTGTGATTGTCCAAAAATGTCATATCTTGCCTTTGAACCTCGTTCCGAGCACACTCCATCAAAACATGGTGCACATCTTCTACAGTATTAGACTCCGAGCATTTAGGGGAGTCTGAAATTCCTATCAGAAATCGGAACTTATTTGACGGGATGTGCCCAGAGCGGAGTCTTAAGAGCGCAACAATATTTTTCCTGTTAATTTCATTTTTTTCAAACCATGGATAACGAGAAGGTTGACACTGAATGGTTCTGTACCATATTCCCTTACTAAGTGAGCGTTCATCAAAATACTCTTGCCATAATTGTCTACAATTTACTTTAACCTCACGTAACAGTTCGGTGTGTACTGGTAAAGTACTATATGTAATACCGTCACTAATAGCGCGGCTTGCAGCTCGATCAGCCTCCTCGTTACCCATGATGCTCGTATGAGAAGGTATCCATTGGAAGATTACCACCTTATTTAATGCACTAAGCTTACATATAGAATCTAGGATACTATAGGCTATCGGAAGTCCTCGAATATTCGAGGGCAGCCGAGCCAAATGTAACAGGGCGCTCTTAGAATCGGATAATATGACAAATTGATTGTAATTCAAGGTTGTAACGTACGATAAAGCCTCGGATATCGCGATCAGTTCACAGTGCATTATAGAAACGTCAGCTTTTATTTTAAACCGTACACAGATGTCCATCTGCTGGTCAACAAAGGCCGCACCGCATCCAGTTTTGTCCTTTGATCCGTCTGTGTAAATCTTATAGTGTGAGTTGTAGTTGTTATTTAGGAAGTTGCAACATATATTACGTGAATTATCTATACCAACATGCCTCTTAGAGCGTTCCATTCCGTCTACTATAGTCTTAATATTATGAGATATTTCATATCTACTAATCCAATCGCTGAGAGAGTAAATCAATAGTTTGGAGTCAGAATGCATAGAAAGATTACAATATTTGTTATAAGTTTGAACCAGTAACGGAACTTTCTTTCTCCTCCAGTATACGCCCTGACACTGACTGTTTAGTTCTTCTAGAACGCGTGTTGTTATATTATTTTTGATTGACCTAGACTTAAACCAAAATTTTGCCGCAAGATATCTTCTACGGATGAACAGTGGCTGTAGGCACAGTTCACTTTCCATGACATGGATAGGGGTGCTTCTTATGAATCCGCCTATCACCCGCATCGCTTGATTCTGTACTTTATCTAGTTTGTATAAATGTGTATTTACACTACTATCATATAAGAAACAACTGTAGTCTAGTATGCTTCTAATTAATGAAATATAAAGACGCCTTAAATGCGTTGGGTGAACGCCCCATTTGGAACCTGCTAACACTTTAAAGATGTTTAGAAACTTAAGTAGCTTTTCCCTCGTTTCATTTATGTGTCTACGCCATTTTAAATTTCTGTCCAGCCACACGCCTAAATATTTAACACTATCGACTCTTTCAATACGTTCGTTGTTGATATTTAAAGTAATATTACTACTGTTTGAGTTTCTCAAGTGTCCTCTTGTAAATACGCAAACTTTGGTTTTTCTGTGAGAAATGTTTAAACCGATATCGGTTATCATAGAGTTTAAAGCAACTAGCGCATCTTGAGTAACAGAAACTGCATCCGTTATATTTTTACGGCTAGTATAAAGTACAAAATCATCAGCGTATTGAGATATACATACTTGATTCAGATTTTTGCAGGTATTGATAGTTGCTGCGTTAAATAGTAATGGCGATAAGGGGTCACCTTGTGCTATACCGGTTCCTGTATATCTGCTTACACACTCTTCATTGCTTAGTTCGATAAATAATCTTCGTGAGTGCAAATATTGGTAGAGGTAATTACATATTACGGTGCCTACTCCTAAATTATCTAGCGCACCTAAAAGACTTATAACATTGACATTGTTGTATGCGCCGTCGATATCAACAAAACACCCTACAGTAGCATCTCCGTTACCAAAGCCACTCTGTATTCGTGACACTAACCTAGTCAAATTGTCCAGGCAAGATCGCGATCTTCTAAAGCCTACTGTTTCATCTGGTAAACAATTATTTTTTTCAAGGTACCATTCCAATCTGCGCGTAATAATTGTGTGAAAAATCTTGCATGGACAAGACAGAAGGGCTATAGGCCTAATATCTGAATTTGAATTATTGCTAATTTTCGGTTTCGGTATAGGCATTATTTTTACATATCTCCATTGTCTTGGTACAAAGCTTGAAAGCAAAAATCTGTTGTATAAAGATACGAGCACAATTTTAGCAGCGTTCGGGAGGTTCTTGATCATAGAGTATGAAATGTCGTCTGCGCCAGGTGCAGTATCGGACTGTTTAATTGTGTTTGCGAGTTCATGAATCGAAACAGGTAAAGATAGATGTACGTTCTCGCTATTAAACACAGGAGCCGGTGGATCTGTATAATCAGGTGCTAAGCTACACAGTAAGGAATCAGCTGACTCACGGGTTATAGTACTTCTCGCTGTCCTGCACCCCTTCAGCCACTTCATTTTAGCCCACATTTCACTTGAAGTTGACACACTGCCAATGCTGTCACAGAAACCTTGCCATGACCTATTTTTACTACTACGAATAATTTTTTGTGCCAACCTGACCTTGTTTTGTAATGCTTCTAAATTTACTGGTGTAGGGTTTCTCCTAAAAACAGCAAGTGCCCGACGTCGTTCCGCTACAGCTCTTGAAATATCCGGATTCCAATATGGTCTAGGAGTGAACCTTTGTTGGTGAAGAGGATTTTCGCATATTTTTATAAACGGGATGCACTTATCAGCTGCCTCGTTAATAATATCGATGAAAGCGTCGTACGCAGACTGGTGATCATCTGGTAATATAAAGCCTTCAAGCTTTCTCTCTATGTGTGTCTTATACTGCAACCAGTCAGCCTTTTTAAAATTGCGTTTTCTTTTATAGATATTGGATGTGCCAATATTAGTTTTCATCTTAATCATTAAATGGTCACTTCCCAAATTTTCATTTAGTACTATCCAGTCGAACTTCAGAGCTATATCCAGAGAAGCTAGAGATAGGTCAGGGGCAGATTTTTGTACTATGCTGTTAACCAGTTTAATTCTAGTATGTGAGCCGTCATTCAGTGAAACAAAATTGTTGTCTAAAATGGAATTTAAAATTTGATCACCTCGTGAGTCCGTTCTAGTTGACCAGTTGGTGTGGTGGCCATTAAGATCTCCCGCAATTATTGTCTTTCGTCTGGCAAGATTGAAGATTTGGTCCCAGTCTCTCAAGGTGGTACGAGCGGATGGTGGGCAGTATAAGGAGTATACATTTTCTATATGTTTACAATTTAAAATTCTAATATGGAGGATCTCAATTTGTGAATTTAGCAGTTCAACATTATGTTTTTGTGCCTTAATTGACCTGTGAGTCAATATAGCTACGCCTCCAAATCCGTCAGCACGATCCGTTCTAAAGACGTTATAGTGGCTAATGTGAAAGTGACTACCCGGGTCTAACCAAGTTTCGCTTATAATAGCAATGTGTATTTTTTCTTGAGTTAATAGAACTTCTAACTCTGTACATTTAGGTTGAATGCTTTGCGCATTCCATTGTAGCACATTTACGTAGGTTTGTGAGTTGTTGTTATCCATAATTGTTTTACGAAATTACAACAAGGCTGATCAGCAATAAACTGCAACACTAATGATATTAACGCCTCCAATATTATATTTCCACAGCCTTTTATCTTGTCTTCCCACGAGCTACTTTCCTCTTCCAATATCTTCTCTTTTAATTTTTTAAAAAATAATTTCCAAGACAATTGTTCTTTATTTTTCGATCGATTCTCATCACTTAGCTTGTCGTCCATTCTGCTTTCTTCTTCACTAACTTCGGTAAAAAATTCAGGCATATTTTTTTTCCTGTTCTTTGAGGGCCCTTCTTCTATTCCGTCGTTTCTCTGACTTAGAGCTTTTTCTCGTTTCTTCCGGGAGTGTTTTCGTAACACTAGCGTAGGTATACACATCACTAGGCCCGGGAATCTGCTTATCTTGTTGTGATGATTCATTTTCAGATGTAGGTTGTGTAAGTAGAGGTGGGTCATTTTTCGTAATCGGTGGTCGAGCCTTGCTGTATGTCCCGCGTGACGGCGGGACATACAGCATAAGGGCTTTTTTGTAGGAACAATTAAATTCCGCCATGAGTTCTCTAATTCGTTTCTCTTTCAAGAAAACAGGGCAAATTTTAGCCATTGCCATGTGTTTTCCCATACAGTTATTACATTTGAAAGTTGTCGTTTCACAGTTAGGATGACTTTTTGTACATTTAGGACAAATTACTTTTAGAGAAGGGCACATTCTAATCGAGTGACCAAATCGCCAGCAACGGGAGCATTGCGTCATTGGGTATGTGTAAGGACTCACTTTTACCCTAGTGTCATAGATGTAAACAAATGACGGTAATGACGATCCCTTAAAACATATTCTTATAGACTCGCTATGTTCCCAATGACCGTCATAAGTGTTCTTTCGCTTTAGTCTTTTTACTGCTAAAATTAAAGTTTCACTTTTAAGTCCCAGTAATATCTCTTCTTCGCTCAATTCTAGACCAATATCTTTTATGACCCCATATGATTGACTAATTTCTAAAGTTTTTTGGCATTTAAAACCATTCTCGTTAAATCTCTTGCACTGTACAAAAGATTCAGCACTTTCTTCGCTATTAAAATGAATCAATACTTTAAATGCATTTATGTACTTAATTTTCGTGACGTTTTTAATACTTTCTGCTTTTAAAATTTTTGCCAATCCAAATTGTTTCGGAAGTTTATCTGTGCATCAAACATACTTCAATTTTATCCTCCGTAATTCTCGTAAGTACATTATCCTCTGTACATTCATTATATCTATTTGCCTTTCGCTTTTTTGATGGTCTCCCTAAGAACATGTCATTCATATCTTCCGTACTACCCATCTGTGAAATATCCTCCATGATCACTGTAATCTCCCTTTCATTGCTTTCGTTAAATACACTACTTTCCACATCAATCTCACTTTGCACATAATTCAACATAGTATTACCACTCATAATTAAATGACCTTACTGTTAACATGGTCTACAAAAGCGCACTGACGTGCGGAGCGCGTTGCTAGAACTAGGGACAGTACGTAATCGAACGGTAGATCAACGCGTCAAGCTACAGCGAGCGCCCACGCGCAACTGATATGTAATTCATAAAATACATGTTACACTGGTAGTACAGTTTGCGGTTATGGTTCGGTTGTCGTTTGCACATTCAGTACCAAACCATTACTATTGATATCGATATCTGAAAACGGTTTTCAATAACGATATGAAAACTAGGTATCGGTTATGTAACCGTTGCAGATAAAAACTGAAAACGCCCATGCTTACTGCCTAATAAAGTATAAAGGAATTGTTTAGTTAAGTTTCATGCGTAACCTCACCTAAGTCACCTGACCATGACCTGCTAATTTAACACTGCAGTACTCGAGCGGGGTGAATATTCACCCCAGACCAATGCTTTCATCCATATTTTTTAAATTATTTGAATACAGAATGTGTCGCTTAGTGTAATCCTAGACAAGTAAACTAGGTTCAAGGTCAGTACGGCGCCGGCACTCGACGCGTGCGCTAGTGGCAAAAAAAAGGCGGGAAAGTGCTCGGGACTGAATTTCACCCCACGCGAGTATCGGCGTTACAAAATCTCTCGTTCGATTATTAAGCGTTTCATGTAAGTATTGGTTTTATTTTTCTTCTATTCGAGATGATTTCAGTTTCTATAAGACTTTTGTATATTTTGCTATGAATTTTGTGTTGTTCATTACAGATTTGTCGCCATTATGGACGAACGTCAGGATTATATACTACGATGCTGGTTGGAAGAAGATGTGGAGGTTGCGAGTGATATTGCGCCGAGTGATACAGAAGATAATGAAGAGGAATGTGTTACAGAGCTAAACCATGACTCAGAAACAGAGCAAGAATATGAAAGTAGCATAGAAGAGACGGAAGAAAGGAGCACAGAAGAGAGGGTAGATATGAAGGCATGGAAGAAAATGTGGAGAATAGTTTTTCAAGCGACGACAATGTTCCTCTGAGTACTTTCTCAAACTACTACCAGTCTAGAAATGGCACTCGTTGGAACAAAACACCACCACCGTCATCAAGAACTAGATCGCACAATATTTTAGTACAACAATGTGGACCTAAAGGTAACGCTAAAAACGCCCAGTCTCCACTGTCTTGTTTCGAGCTATTTTTGACGAGTCACTTTTGCAGATTATTGTTGAATCCACAAATATTTACATAAATATTGTTCAATCAAAATATAAACGTGACAGAGATGCTCATCAAACAAACATGATGGTAATTCGAGCTTTTATCGGGTTATTGCTGGTGATAGGTGTAAACAAATCGGGAAGACGGAACCTGAAAGACTGTTGGGATAATTCTAGAGGCACAGGAATTGAATTTGGCTATTTGACTATGTCGTTGAATAGATTTCGATTTCTCCTTCGCACTGTTCGATTTGATGACGTCACAAGCCGACTTCAAAGACAATCACTAGATAAAATTGCAGCTATACTTGATGTTGTAGAAAAGTTCATTTCCAATTGTAAAACAATTATAATCCCAATGAGCGACTAACTATTGCCGAACAGCTTGTTGCATTTCGGGGACGCTGGAGTTTTATCATGTATATGCCCAATAAACCTTCAAAGTTTGGAATCAAAATAATAATGGTGGTAGATGTGAAATTCCCATACATAATTTGAAATTTAAGGCCCTTCAGGCTGTGCACCAAGCACAGCCTGAAGGGCCTTTCCAACATTCTAACAAAGTCCTGGATATTACACTTCGAGTATTGGATCCCGTCTGCAATCTTGGATGTAATATCACCGATGAATAACTGGTTTTCCAGTATACCGCTAGCTCAAGAGTGGTTGAAACAGAAAACTACCATGGTTGTCACCCTCAAGTCTAATAAACCAGAAATACCTGCAATATTCAAAGAATCTCATCAAAGAGAAGAAAAAAGTACTGTTGTTTGATTTCAGAAAGACTGCACTCTAGTTTCCTATATACCAAAAAGAAACAAATCCGTGATTTTGCTATCTATAATGCATCATAATGGCATAATTGATTCAACCACAGGAGCCAAACAGAAGCCAGAAATAGTAACTTTTTATAACAAAAACAAATGTGGTGTAGACATTATTGATAAGATGTGCAATCAATATAATGTTTCAAGAAACAGTAGACGATGGCCTCTTACTGTATATTTTGACTTATTAAATCTTGCAGGTATATATTATATAGCTTGGTAATTCATCACATGAATAGGATGGCTAACACCTAAAAATGAGCAATCACTCATTGAACGGAGAATGTTTCTGCTGGATGTGGCGTTTGAATTGTTAAAACCCGCAATAAATTATAGAATTGGTGTTCCAAATATTCCACGGGAACTAAAACTAAAGCTCAGATACTTTTAAAACCACAAAGCGGTGACAATGACCCAAATCCAAATGTCCAGAGAACAGGAAAAAGTGGTCGATGCGCCTATTGTCCACAATCACGTGATCGTCCTGCTTCGAAATTCTGTAATATATGTAATCGATGGATTTGTCCGGACCATCAAGTTCTAATTTGCACATCTTGTTATCAAAATACATAAAACTGTTAAAACTAAATAAAAAAATGAAAATGTTTCGGAGAGTTGGCAAAATTAATAACTTTTTCCTCATTTTTTTAAATTTCATTTTTTTTTTGTTAATTTATATTAAAATACATTTATTTTTATAATATTTAGAATAAACAATAAATACTTTTCACTATTTGAATGCATTTTATTTCATATTGTATTACATTTACCTAAATCGATCAATGTAAATGGTCTGAAAATTCACCCCACGCGAGTAAAATATTAGAAAATTAGGGCGCGAGTACTGCAATGTTAACTTATTAGAGATGAAGCGTATATACTAGAACAGATCCAGGGACTAAGTATTTAACGAGACTAGGTTGCACCTATTCCAACTTTTAAAATACTTGATCCATCTAGTCTCACTGTGCCTACGCGTCGTACTCGTATTTTGTTGCCGTAGACTGTTACTAGGTGCTTAACTCGGTCGTGTTTGCCTAAATCATTAGTTTGTCAGTCATTTGAATTTGAACCAAATTTCAATGAACATAAATCATTGATTTATATGTTACACTAGATAAGTAATTTCCGCGCCAAAGCGTTGTCACTTCACATAAGGCCACAGCCTTATACTCAGCGAACGTCGGTTCAGTGTTCAAGGTGACGCCGTCCGAGTTAAGCCGAACGATTCACAACAAAAAATGGGTAAATGCGTAGTGAAAGAATGCGTTTCAAGGTCACAAAAACATAATAAATCAAGCGGAATCACTTTCCATACGTAAGTTTTAATTTATATATTCATATTAACGTTTAAAACACTAAAAAAATTAAATAAAATATCGAATATTGCAATTTAGGTTCAATGTTGCCACTTTTCCGCCTTTGTGATTTTTCCACATTAATGGGAGACTGTATAATTTATGGAATAAGTTAATTTTGTTTTAAAATAAACAAGTAAAATTGATTGCTTAAAAATAAAAACTATGTTTCAACCTTTATACAAAATAATTATTCTTATTTTATTTTATTCATGAATTATCTATTAAATATATTTTACTACCTTATATCTTATATTAATAATTTAATATTAATTAAAATTTCATATAAATTTTATATTAATTATATTTCACTACCTATTTTATATTACTTGATTTATTAGTACAGTAAAAAATATTTATAAAAATATGTTTTATTTCATCATTATGTACTTCTAACTCATCTGATAAGCTTTGTATTCTTTTTTTTCTAAGGGGACGCAATAAAGATTTTAAAATAAAATATACTTTTTTAATATAAAAACAATTAACTGAAGCTTAAAAAAAACTCATTTTTATTGCGTATTTTAGGTAAAATTTTATATAGTAAGCCACACCAACCCGCCATTGCATGTTTGTGTGTCTATCTTTATCTAATTTTAGCGACGATATTGTTTACGTAACTTGTGTAAGTGAGATAGATATATGTTTATTTAAAATTGTTATTAGTTTCAAAGCTACGTCGTCGCGTTTGGATAGTGGTTACACATTTTTCGACGCGCGGTAATGTGGTTTGCTCCTCTAGTTGTATAACTCAATGATATAAACGTAACGTGACGCGCACTCGTGTTGCGTAAGAATATATTCTGTCCTTGTTTAACTACACTATTCCGCAGTCTTTCTATCTTTGTCTGTCAATACTCGAGACTCGAGACTAGTCGGGACTCGGGACTTCAATCAAATCAAATACTAGTACAAGAACAAAGTACGAGATCAAGAGTACAAGTACAAGGCAGACGAGTGTCTGTTGTTCTAGTACGGTATGGACTCATGCGAATGTGATCTCGGTGGACACTGTATTCATGTTTCCATGACTACGTTACGTAAACAATTTACGTTTCTATGACTATCTAATATATTATTTTGATGAATATAAATTATATAATTAATATTAAGTAAATGTATCATGCTTGCTTTCAGTAATATAAAAATGCGTTCATTTACTCACATTTACTTATCTATATAATATTTTATAATCTTTCTTATGGAGTAAACTTCACCAACTCACTTTTTATTTTTTTGTTTTACAAACTATTCTTTTTTTAATGTTTATTTATAAGAATTATACAAACAATATTCTAAAAAAATATTATAATTAGTCTCGGTACTATAAAGATTATATGAGAAATAATACTTATATGAAAATAATCTACTTCAAATTCGCCCTCCCGTCATTATGAGCTACTTTATACTGCATCAACCTATTACAGAATTATAGCAATAGTAAAAAAAAAACCATAGCAGCTTAAAATCAATAGAGAGATACAAAATCAATAGCTGTGAATGTTCCAATTCTAGAGTTTTTCAAATAAATTGACAACTTTAAGAAAAAAAAACATTTAAAACAAATTTTAGAAAATATGAAATTATTCCGTAACCGCGCCATCTACACGTACGTTGTAGTACTACATCGAGTAAAGAAAGTAGTTTAATGGCGGAAGAGCTTTTGAAGTAAATTATCTTAATTTATTTCTCGTATAATCTCAATCCTCGTAATTTAGTAACGAGAATAATTATAATACTTTTTTTATAATTGTAGTTGTATAATTGTTATAAATAACATTTAAAAAAGAATTATTCTTAGGGGTGTCTACAAAAGGAGACATATTTTGATTATTTTATGTATTAGTTTTGTACGTGATAGATAGTGTTTATTTTAAAAACTAACTAGAAACAATCGCACGTTTATTGTTTAAAAAATGGCTCCCAGAGTAAATACTGTGGCTTGGGATCATTTTACGGACAAAGGGCAACAAATGGCCGATTGTAATATTTGTAAAATACAACTGAGTTTTAAAAGTTCTGTATCAAACCTTACAAAACACATTAAACGTAAACATCCATTCGTAAGTTTAGTTAGAAGAAACGACGTTCCAGCTCCAGTGATAACATCCCAGACTAACCAGCAACCACCAATATCAGACCAATCTGCTGGAATAGTTCAACAACCTGAAGGTGAACAACGGCCGTCCACTAACTTGGTGCGATTAGTACAACCGGGTGCGAGAACTATAGCTTCATACATATATAAAAAAATGCTGATAAATGTAAATCTGATATAGATAAGCTAATAATGGATTTATTTATTATGGACTTTCAACCATTCCGTATTGTAGAAGACAAAGGTTTTAGACAATTAATTCAGTCTGCTTTTCCTTTTTATGTTATTCCAAATCGTAAATACTTTGCAAACAATTTATTGCCAAGTCGCTACGAAAGTTTGCGAACATCAAAAATGACGGAAGTCGCAAATGATGTGGAATCGATTTCTATCACAGCGGATATATGGACATCAAGTACAAACGACTCGCACATGGGTATTACTGGTCATTATATCAATAAAAATGACTGCACCCTAAAATCCATCTTGTTAGATTGCGTACTTTTAGAGGGATCACATACCAGTGCCAACTTAGCTACGGAACTGTTACGAATAACGGAGGAATGGAAAGTGTCCGGAAAAATATTGTTAGCAGTGTCGGATAACGGCGCCAATATTAAAAAAGCCATGATAGATATAGGCTGGAAGCATTTTGGTTGCTACGCACACACGCTAAATTTAGCCGTCCAAGAAGGATTGTCTGCGACACAAGAATTGGTTTATCTGATTGATAAAGTAAAAACTATTGTTGCTTACTTCAAAAGATCCGCTCTAGCCTGGGAAAAATTAAAAAAATACCAGGAACAGGCCGGAAAAGCCCCTAAAAGACCTCTGCAATGTGTAAGCACGAGGTGGAATTCTACATTCTACATGTTGCAGAGGTTTGTAGAATTAAAAGAAGAGGTTAATAGTGCGCTCTCTAACTTAAACGTTAATAATATGCCCTTAACTGCAGTTGATTGGAAACTTTGTGAACACATTTGTAATATTTTAAAACCCTGTGAAGAAGTTACAAGGGAAGTAAGTGCTCAGAAATATGTAACGGGGAGTATAGTGATACCTATAACGACAGGGTTAGTCAAATCTCTGGAAAGTATTAACACAAGTGCTACCTCGACACCGCCCAAAAATTACGACAAGACTTGCTGGCCGCTATAAAAAATAGATTTATTAATTTAGATAAAAGTGGCACACTTACTACCTGTATGTTCCTGGATCCTAGATTCAAACTGTATTTTGAAAATCAATGTGTAGCTGACACTACAAAACAAAGGATAATAGAACTTATTACGTCTATTATTAATAAAGAGGATCGAAATAGTTCCCAACTTCAAAATGAAGAGCAGCAGCTATCGGATCAAGAAGCACATCCTCCAGCTCAGCCACAAATTAATTTAGTATGGCAGCACTATGCAGAAAAAATGAAAAATATTCAACCCAAGGGCACGGCAACTTCTCGAGCGATTTTAGAAGTTCAAAGATATTTGGACGATAAAGTTGTGTTGCCATGTGAGAATATGTCACCACTAGAGTGGTGGAAAAAGCGGAAAGATGTATACCCGCATTTGTATGCTCTGGCCCTCACCAAGTTGAATGCAATGGCCACGAGTGTCCCTTGTGAAAGATTATTTTCCTCATGTGGCTTACTGCTAAATGACAGGAGAACGAAGCTGGGAACTCGAAAAGTGCAACAATTAATGTTCTTAAATCAAAATTCAAGTAATTAAAGTAGTAATTTTCTATTCTATCTATATATAAAAAACAATAACTGTAGATTAAGTGATAAAAGAAAAAACAAAATAAAAAAAACAAAACAAAAAACAAAAAAAAAGCAAAATCTGATTACATTGAAATAAAAATGAATTAAAATCTTTTAAATACGCCAACAATCTACAATGTAGTACGTTGACAGTCCTAAGCCTGTGTAAAGTATGAAGGGAAGATTAAAATTCATTATTGTACACGTTTCAGTAGTACGCACGTAAAGCATACTTGAAACTAAAGTTCATTCTATTCCAACAATACTAAACTTTGTGCGTACTTGATACTTTATGGACTAGGTGGAACAGGTATTTGGATCGAGTATTTATACGGAATTGGACTAGGTGCACCTAGTACGAAATTTACCTAGTAGCCTAGTACAACTCATCTCTATAACTTATGTGTTAGTTAATTTGTTTAATACTTCTTATATGTGGGCCGATCCCGGCGGCACTGCAATGCCGGGCCGACCCGTGACGGGAGTGGAGCGAGCCCCGAACATCCCGTCGTTTTACAAAAATCAGTTTAATATACTGGTCCCGCAGTGCGGGAACTTTCAGATATTAAGCTGAAAAGAACAGATACTACACTTTGATCTTAGCCAAAAGGCCGAGAAGCGATAACAAGCATTGTGCGTCGAGGTCTCTTATACACTCCGAAATAATCCCAACATCGCGTTTTAGCAATATAAGAACTAATATACAGCGCCATCTATCGCAACTTCAACGCGACTCAACTTTCATTATACTTACACAAATTCTTCGTACACGAACATATTCTTATTTTATTTTAATCTTGATCCCATTTGAAGTTAAAGCGTCACTTTCATTTCAAACATAATATTGCGGATGCTACGTTGTTACATTATTTTTTTAGCCTATCATTACCACCCATATCATTATTTTTTATACTCCGATTAAGTATTGGGTATTGTTTTTTAATGCAAGGAATTGAATAAACAATCAACAAGTTTTTTATGTTTTTCATAAGACCAAAAAGGAAAGATTGACGGAGCGCTGTTTACATTTCAAGATCAAGTGACGCAAAAACTGTGCTAACTTTTTGACACGCACTCGTTCGCCGTAGAAGTTTATTGCTGGACGCACCACACATATTATACACCTAAACCCATATAAACTAATAACAATGCTATTATAATCATTAAAATTGAGTGATCTATAACTTTCGAATAAATTGTCAGTACGGTATGCGCGCCACCTAGAGTAAGTTAATTGTACTATGCCTAACCTTTGCGCAAGTGTAAGCAACAAGTTGACAAAGTTTTACCTCAATCTGATGAATGGTGTGGCAGCGCATAAAATACTTATACTATTAATATTATATAGGTAATATTATATATACATTTTCCTATATTTATGTATTATGTACCTAAAGCATTTTAAACGAAATAATTGATGTTCCAGAAAGTAAACGACGGAACTATCTTTTTTTAAACGTTTACCAGCATATTATTATTAGCCCGAAGGAAACTTTGAATTGGCATGTTTATTTGATCTGAAACACAGAGTACTTTTGTATAAACAGAAAATCTGAAACTGCAAATTCCGATGCATGAAGTTGTGTACTTATTAAGAAACAGCAAACAGTGTTGAATTTTGGTACTTTTGCCGAAATACAGTTACTCACCGATCCGCTTATTACTCCAGTAAGTTTCATCAATCCAAATCCAATCCAATCCAAATGTTTCATCTTACATAATAATAGTGTCATTGGTGGAGCCACGTGTTTAAGGCTGCCGAAGTCTAGTTCCCCGGTCGAACCTTAAACCTATTGCGCGAATTATTAATCTAAGTGGACTGTATCTACTAATGCTTCTACACTTGTATATGCGGTACAATGCACTCGCTCTTCCCAAAAAAAACGAACTATTATGCCAAATCGATGAAAGGAATCCTGCTTGATTGGGAAAACACAAAATTGGAGCGGGTTAAAACAACTATATCAAGCAGGAAAATACTATTAGGAAAATGTTGACTCACCGGGATGTTTCTTCTGTGCGGTCGAGCACTATAACTGCGACTTCTGGAACACTCCGGAGAGAGGCGGTGCGCGACTATATCTCACACGAGGTGATGCGGGTTTCCTGGAGCTCGACTGCTTCCAGGCTAAAGCGGTTTCTACTAGATGTGTTTCCAACAACGAGCGCGGCGGGAAGAGGCCACGCGTCGGTCGCGCGTGTCTTATATATCCTCGGTTCCGATGATTACGTGATGTTCTAGAATCATCTTCTTTCCCCTCCCACCCCACCACCCCGATGTGTCGATAGGAGGGTACGAATGATATCGTTTTGGAAAGGGATAACCGATTTGGCAGCCTACCGTCAAATAAAATAAATACGAATGGTTTTCCGCGCAACCATCTCCCCCCGCCCTTGAAGGATCTCCTTCAAAATAACTAAAACAACTAGAGCTAAGATCAACTAACAAATAACTAACTAACGCTAAGATTACCTAAATTCAACTACAATTTTAATCTAGAAAGCTAATTTAAATTATGGAAGAGGCAAGGGGCACAAACGGACAACAGGACGTAGGTAAGACCCAACCGTGGTCTTAACGCGAGCTATCCTAATTACTCCGTCGGAACCGGGAAAGACCTCTTCGACAATTCCTAACGGCCAGTGGAGAGGTGGCGTATTCTCCTTAGTGAGCACAACTACAGTCCCTACAGCTAAAGGCTCAGTCGCTGTGTTCCATTTTTGCCGAGACTGCAAAGTATGCAAGTATTCCATCCTCCATCGTTTCCAAAACGATTGCACTAACCGGTCTAATAATTTGTGGCGTGCGGAAATGCTAAGTCTGTTCTCATCCATATCTGCGGCGGGCAAATACTTTAAAGGCGTTAAATTCAAAAAATGTGCTGGAGTTAGAGCCAGCGGTTCCGAGGGGTCACTAGACAACGTCCGACAAAGTGGGCGGCTATTCATTACGCATTCAATTTGAGTATAATATTTGTGATTTTTGTGGGTATAGTATTTATGTTCGTAATTCAAATTGTTTGATTTCTATAACATTATTTTTTTTTAAATCTTAGCAAATTTCACTACCGTAGATAACTGCAAAGTTTCATGGTCCCGGTAGTGAATGATTTTAGCTACGAACGAAGTTTTATTTTTTATAAATATTAGCACGTTAAATTTTAAACATTACATAGATTTGAAACAGGGTTTTACAATTTTTTTGCGAATATTTGGCCAAAAATTGTATAAGCCTATGCCTCACACAGTACAGAAATGAAAAATCTATGTCATTTGAAAGTACAGATCTTCTATATAAAGGTTTAGAAAAGTGCATATTCTTGCTGGTTCTTCCCAGGGCAGAGGTTTTTTCCGAACCAGTGTTAAATTAAAAATAAAGTGACCTTCAATAAGTATTATTTATAAATTATATTGAACAAAAATTTCTCTATCTATTTCTATGTTTATTTTACTTACTAAGCACAAGGTTTTTGACAGATTACTGAGTTTACAGCTTTGTAAAATGTGTTAAGCCATAGCATAATTTTGAGTCAAAGCAATGAGCTGGCATAGTAACCTACACACGAAATTTCGCTGAGTTAGCCATGTCTAATAATGGGGCCGACCTGTCACGCCGAGTATGAACAATTAAGCTGGCGAGCAAAGATGGAAAACTATATCTTTTAACAGTTAAGATAAACAGTTACAAAAATTTACCATTTTATTAAATAGTTTAGCTAAAAACACAGGGACAGTAGTTTTTTTAGTCTTTGAAAATATTTATATTGTTTGTAAAAGTTAGTCTCCTTCAGCCCTGATTGAAAAACTGGATGATTTGGTCCAAAAATTTATGCCACATTGTGGTAATATATTAGCACAATATAAAGAGCTGAAACAGTTGAAAAATGACTTGGAGAACAATGTATTCGTTAGGCTCTTTTCTGATATCATCAGGCAAGGAATGCCAGAGAAAGCAGCCTTAACAATGAAGGAGTTACCATGGAACCCGGTGAGATGAGTAGGAATATAAATGTTGTTATTAGAGGAAGATCGAAGAACCCTATCATGATAAGAAGAGAGATATTGAAATCGTTCTTTGAGGTAAGAAGGTGAATACGGATCATTTGGAAATGAAAACAGAACAAATGATACTCTGGAGTTGCGCCTTTGCCTTACGGTAAGCCACTTAAGCTGAGATCTGTAATGAGAAATATGTTTATACTTACGCAGACCAAAAATAAATCTAATACAGTTGTTAAGCAGGCGCTCCAGCTTGTTAAGAAGTTCTTGGGACAGGTCGGGGTAGCACACATCTGCATAATCAAAGTTAGGTAAAATAAGAGTTTGGACAAGCATGAGCTTAGACATAATAGGAAGGAAGTATTTGTGAAGATAAAGGAAACGTAAGGTGGCAATGACTTTCCGACTTAAATCGATAACCTGCACTTTCCAGTTCAGAGAGCTATCAATATAGAGGCTAAGGTTTTTAACAGACTCACTAAATGGAACAACAATACTATCATAGCAAATAGGAGGTAAGGCCTCAGGTAAACTCTTGTGTCTACCACTGAGCTTCACATACTTTCATCCACAATTATGAAATCTATCATGCTTCTATCTGTTACTACATTTTATTCCAAATAATAGTTTAAGGCTAAGAACTTATGAAGCAGTTTTCACCTGCGTCGGTTCGCAGCTCCAGTAGAATGCAAATATATCTGTGGAAGATTTAACCGTCTTTTGGCATTTTTTTAACATTCCTATCTATTGCCTTCTGGTACTCATTTTTGACGTCAGCCACTTGCATGATGAAATACAAGCGAGACAGGACAAAGGAGCCGACTGCGTCCAATTTCTGCCATGGTGACAGGAGGGACTGCTCAATTTCATTTACACGCGCGATTAGATTCTTCAATGCGCTGGTTGGAGTCTATCTAATGTCAAAGCCCGTTGGTATTCCGAAATATTCATAGTAATTGTACGGTCTCATTGATTTCATAGGTCTCTGGATGTTGAAAACTGTGTCTTGTGCGCTCTCACAATCGCTCTTCATGTGCAGTGTCGCGCATTTGGTGGGATTAAAGACAAGACCAACCGACCGAGCGCCCTGCTCCCAGCTGCATTTAGGAGATGTCTCATTCCTTCTCGTGAGACGATGATTGCGATGTCATCGGCGTAAGTCAGATTTATAATACGCTTATTCCTTTTTTATATGATAGGGTGACAAACGAGCATACGTTCCACTTGATGGTATGTGGTTGCTGTGGCCCGTAGACATCTACATCTATCCTTGACGAATCAAAATACAGATGCGTTGTCACCCGTGAACACTAAGATGGAATGCCTCATTTCTAGTTAACAGGTGTCTCCGGTTCTCTACACTCACTATAAAAAACACAGCAGCATAGAGCTGCTATTTTACGGTGGTATTCCGTGAGAGCGTGGTTCTTCCCATTCCCATTCCTGCTGCAATTTTACTACTAATATAACAGCGTATAAATATTATTAGTGATTCCTTATGTTGAAGCCCTCACCAGTCAATTGCAAGGCGCGGATAACCACCTCCAGAGTGAGATTACATATATGCGGACTAAGCAGGTGACCCTGTTTCACACCGGACTGCAGTTTGATTGGGTCAGTGAATCACTCCGAGGTACGAACTTTAGTTCTCGTGTCTTTGTACAGCGAATCAATTAAGTCTCTTATAATCGCTGGCATCCCGTGATGTTCAAGAGCCCTATGAATAGACGAGTGCGGGACAGAGTTAAATGCGCTGGCCAATTCCAGCCAGGGGACAACGACCTCTCCTTTATCGCGCTTGGCTTGCTGGATGGTCTTCTTAAGCACAAAGTTGTGCTCATAGCATCCCTCGTACGGAAGTAGTCCCTTTTGTGAAGTGCTATATCTTCTATTGGCGACTGCCCAGGTATTGACTCTGTCTGCAATGTCACTCTTCGGTCCTTTCTTGTGTAGTAGTCCTATCCTGTTGGAGTCCTTCCAGCAACCAGGTACTACTTCGAGCCGTCCCACTGCATTGAATAGTGCTGTTAATATAAAGGCTCCTGGGTTCGCCTTTCTAAGATCACCGTATGTTAATCCGTACAATCCGGGAGAGGTACTAGATTTTGATTTTAACTTCCTTACTTCTTCCTTCCTATCGAAGACTTCAATCAATTCCAACTTGCTGAGACTCGTGGGATCATCATGATTGAAGACATCGGGCCACATTTGATCTCAGTTTCGAGGAGTGGCCATTTTTGTGAAGTATTGCTCAATAGACCATTGGGAAATTTCGCAGTATCTACCAAGCAGGTCCGTTGGGCAGTTGTTGCACGGTTTTTTTCCGAAATTTACGATATTTTTCTTGAATACGGGCTACCTCACTCATTCGATATAGAGCTCGCACGGGTTATCTGCTGTCTGTTCGATGTCGCTGTATTTGCCGTCCACTCTCGTGTCCCGTATGCACGAGCCTACCCAAGAATGGCATGGTTCTACGGGCAACCTCTTCCAATTCTTCGGGGCTGTTCACCGAGTCAATCTCTTCCACATACCGACTTTGTTCTGCTGTGAGAAAACGACGATTTTGAGGCCTGTGAGTCTGTATTTATTAATCCGACCCTCGAATTCGACAGATATGTATTATTATGCGACCGAGTCAGTGGGAAGTCTTAGATACTATTACCGATTGGTGCATTTAAGCACTATATGCTTTGATAACAGTAATTGTAATTGGGTGAATATAAATGAATTCTATTTTTAATTTTATCTCCCACGGGTTAAATTATCCCTTTTCTATTTATTTTTTTTACTTTTAAATCGAGTATGCGCAAGCTACATAATATTTATGGAGTATAAAAATAAGAAGAACAAACTTTGTATAAAAAAGTGTCCGTAGAAAAACACTAAATAAAACTGTGGCGCCACTGTAGCTATAGTGTAAAATTTAAAGAACTTTTTATAATTTTTTATTGCACAGACTTCCACCATAATTCTTTTTATAATAATTATTTTATTGTTTTCAAAATTTTAATTTTCAAAATCACTCTCAAAGTATTTTACGGCGATTTTTCATACCCTCTGGCTACTACAGCGCTGTTGTGGGGAATTTTTGAACAGTTATATATTGCTTATAGATGGACACATTTTTAACCATTCTCTTATGGGAGATTGTCCTCCTTATGCATAGATTCAGTATAAGCTCCAGTGAAGTTTATACTAGATCTATGTTCTTATGTATTATTATTATTAGGTTATCAACAATATATAAGAAATGTATCGTTGATAGATAGATGTCGCTAGATTTATATACAGTTAGTTTTCTGCCATGCCGAAAAAGATGTCGCTTTTGAAAATGTTTTAAGCCTAAATTATCTGTCGGTAGATGGCGCTATAGCATTTTAAATGAATATAATCTGCGTCGTGATGTAGAGATCCTTGGTGATATAATCAGGTCTGCTTGCCGCGAGTGGAACGACAAGACCTTACTTCATAGGATCATTTCTATAGTAAGTTCTTCACGAGACCTTCACACTATGTGAGATCTATCCAGCCGCGTTGATGAGAAGTGGCGCGGCGCCCTGAGCGTGAGGCGGGCGGCAGTAGTGCACTGCCAGCTCTCGATGATCGTTCGCTCTCCCGCCTCGGCGGGGGAAGGTGGGGCGTTGTCGCTGTCTGAGTGGCTTTTTGATAATATAATTTTCCATATATCCATCACCTACTAACCTATGTTGCACTGTGCCAATTTTTATTGGTGGTAGATTTGGGTAATATCACTTTTACGGCGCCTGTACACGTTGGCCAACACAGTGGCGAATGTAGTGGCCAATAGCATTGGCCAACGTGTAGACGGGGTGTTTGGGCTTCATTGGTATGTATTGGAACGATGGCCCGCAAGTTGGCGCGAGATCCGTGTGGTGTAGGTTTTTTACAAAAGATCAAAGGATTTTTGGCAGAGTTTGGTCGCCGCGTCCACACGTTGGCCGCGCGTTTAGTATGCTACAAGCCAACAAGCTCCCAGAGTGATTACACGCATCTGATTTAAATTTTATATTAAAGCTTTGTAGGGTGGATGCCCCCATTACCAGCCTTTTAGTGCCAATTTCAACTTTAAACATTCCTACTACTTTAATTAGCGCGATTTAATTATTATTGAACATTTGTTTTAATCAATAAGCTACTTATCAAAAAAAATTAACGTTTTTTTTACAATCAGATTATTACGAGAACAATTTTAAAATGAAAAAAAAAATGAAGCACGTCGTTTATACGTGGTAGAACTATGCAATTATATTAGAAGTATAGTTGCAGCACGAAGGTCGGCTCGACCGGGGCAGGAGTGATTACACGCATCTGATTTAAATTTTATATTCACGCTTTGTAGGGTGGTGCCCCTATTAGCCTTTTAGCGCTAATTTCAACTACTACTTTAATTAGCGCAATTTAATTATTTTTAAATATTTGTTTTAATCGATAAGCTATTTATCAAAACAAATAATGAACATTCATTTACAATCAGATTATTACGAGGACAATTTTAAAATGAAAAAAATGAAGCACATCGTTTATATGTGGTAGAACTATGCAGTTATATTAGAAGTATAGTTGTAGCACGAATGGATCGGCTCGACCGGGGAAGGACCACGCTCTCACCGAATATCAGCGTAAAATAGTAGCTTAATGATGCTGTGTTTCGTATAGTGAGTGTAGAGAACCAGAGACCCTTTTTAAAGGAAACGGGTCATTTTTTTTTTATAGAATATGGTGACAAACGAGCACACAGTCCACCTGATGGTAAGTGGTTGCTGTGGCCCATAGACATCTACATCTATCCTCGATTACGAATCAAAATGCAGATGCGTTGTCACCCGTGAGGACTAAGATGGAATGCCTCGTTTCCAGTAAAAAGGGTCTCCGGTTCTCTACACTCACCATACGAAATACAGCAGCATTAAGCTACTATTTCACGCTGGTATTCTGTGAGAGCGTGGTCCTTCCCCCGGTCGAGCCGACCCATTCATGCTACAACCATACTACTAATATAACTGCAGCATGGCTCTGCCACGTAAAGCCACGTACCACGTAAATTTCATCTTAGTCCTCACGGAGGACAACGCATCTGTGGGCCACAGTAACCACTTACCATCAGGTGAACTGTGTGCTCGTTTGTCACACTATCCTATAAAAAAAACGACGATTTCTTATAATTTAATCGTGCAAGATTTCGAATCATCATCATCATTACAGCTCTTCACAAGTCCACTACTGAACATCCTCCTCCACAGACTGCCGCAAAGCATGGTCCTGAGCCACTTTGCTCGTCATGAGTTTTTCATTTATGTTCTAAGTTATAATTAGTACCTATTATCAAGTCAATGTTAATTATATTTATTGCTATTGTTTTTGTCTTTCTCAAAAAAAATTAAATTACCAAATAAATTATATGGTGTTTTTTATATACATCAAATGTCTGATAGAAATGCAAGTAGGTACATATTTTGCTAAACTTTAAAATCAAAACCCAATTTTAAAACATAGACTAATCGATTATAACTCCTTTAACTTTAAAATAAGTTAAGTTATTATTAATGGTATTTATTCCAGTTTATGATGCATGTAAAAAATAAATAAAGCTAATTGTATATTGTATATCTATTTACAGCCCCATTAATAACCATTATTATTTTATAATTCTTTTATAAAAACGTTAACCCCACACTAGGATTTTCTCCCGTATCGCGCAGGCAGTTTACAAACATAAATTGCACAAGGACACACATCCAGACCCGAAACAATTATTTGTAGGACATACAAATACTTGTTCCGTGCGGGATCAAACCCGCGGCGCTCGGCGCAGCCACTCATTACTGAGCCACTGCGCCACGGTGCTTATATATTCGTCCGCACATTGGCCCGAACCGAAGTAAACTGAACGACCTTCCAACGTGTGTGAATGCCCCGCTTGGGTTTTTTTTTTGCGCCCGAAGCAAATATGTGCAACCCTCCGGAAAGCGGGGGAGGGAGGTTGAGAATGCTCATAGCATACCACGCAGCCGGCTGCGTGGTTATGTGGAGACTTTTACCCACTAAACTCAACCTTTTTAGGAATTGGCTTAACGATCTGACTAGAGATCTCTAAGCCGTATACGAACGCGACCCTCCTTGGCAGAAAGGAGGGCGCAGCCCGCTTGGGTCGTGACGGCCATATTTATCCTCTTTTGTTAGGAGTCAAATCCGAAACTATTACAATAAAAATCTTACCGGAAATTCAAAGCCACAAAAGCGGAAATCCGATTTACATTTATTAAAGTAGATGGATATTTCAAGAGATAACTACACTAAAATTATGATCATTCAATATGTTATGCTTAATTGTTCTTTATACTTAATTGCTAAAAAAGAAGAGAGCGAATGCATTTTATCAGCTAATGAGGCAGGATGTAAAAGATTCGATAAGCTACTGTTTTGATTTACAACAAATACAACCGTTGCCAAAAGCACCGGTACAGGAGGCATACTATTTGAGACAAATTGGATTTTACAACTTTTGTATAGTCGATTCAAAAGGACTGAAACCACAGTTTTACTGCTGGTCTGACGAACAAGCCGGTAAAGGAAGTACAGAAATATCATCTGCTTTGTTACATTTCCTTCTGAATACTGATTTCCAATTACACACCATTTTAAGACTGTTTGGTGATGGAGGTATCTCTCAAAATAAAAATAATATTGTAATACGTACTATTATTTACTATTTGCAAACTACAAGAACATCTCTTAAGGAAATTCATATGCATTTTCCAACTCGAGGCCATTCCTTTTTGCCTGCCGATAGCGTTTTTGGCAGGGCTGAACTAAACTGTTGCGAAACAAGCCCACTATTATCGCAAAAGAAGAATATATAGAAATGTTTAAAGAACTGGGTCAGTTGTATTCATTAAGACAAGACTGGGAACTCGAAGATACCAAGGACTTAAAGAAGTTTTACAAAGATCTAGAAAACATAAGCTTTATGAAAAAGATTTTCTTCAAAGTCAGCGAGGTTAATGGTAAACGGTCAGTCAGAGTTCGAGCGATGGAAAACTTTATTTATGAAGGAAATGAAACATACGAAAATTTAAACAAGAAATCACAGAATGCAACCAAAAACACTGCCTTAAGCAGATCTTTATATGTCTGTTTTTGGAAACTGGTAAGAGATTGAGAACATCCGTTTCAACTGGTATAAA